CCCGCCCCTCTCCCCCACTTTGTTGTGGCGGCGCCGGCGGCAGCAGGAGTCGCTCCGCGCACGCGCGGGGCCGCGAGCCCCCCTCTCCCCCCCGCCCCCCGCTCCATCCGGGCACCCGCGCGCGCGCCAAAGCCGTGTCACAACTTTCTCCCCCCCGCGCGGCGGATCCCGGCGCGCGCTCTCTCCCAGGAAATATAGTCCCTGCCCGGCCCCGGCCGCCGGCCCGGCCCCGCTGGAGCGGCCCCGGGGGCCGGCGGGGGGCGGCGGGGCGAGCGGCGGCGGGGGCGGCGGGGGCCGCGCGGGGGGGGCGCGCGCGGGCGGGGGCGCGCGGGGAGGGGCCCCCCCCGGTCGGCGGAAAGTGAGTAATGAGTCCGTGTCCCCAGCAAAGAGGCGAAGAACTTGCCGTGCACACCGAGTACTTGTGTCTGCCGGCTGTCCTGCCGCTTTTCCTTAGTATTGTTGTTCTTGGTGCCGCCACTCCTTTTTTTTTATTTTTTTATTTTTAATTTTTCCTGGCTTTCCTTTTTTTTTTTTTTTTATTTTTTTTTTTTTTAGTTACTTAAAAAAATTATTTTCTCCCATTTTTTTCGCGGAGAGAGGGGTGGCTGCCTGGCTGGCTGGCGGGTCTGTTGCAAAAAGCAGGAGAGAAAAAACAAAAACAAAACAAAAAAGCCAAAAAGAAAAAGAAAAGGAAGGCAGGAAAAAAAAAAAAAGCCAAACCCAAACCAAAAACCAAACCAAACAAAAAAACAAACTTCACTCGGATCTGAAAGTGGCAGGAAAGTGCCTGGCAAGTTGCAGGGATGGAGCTACACAGCTTGCAGGAGGCGTTAAAAGTGGAAATCCAATGTCACCAGGTAAAAGAATGGAACGCTGAGGCGACCAGCCGTGCTGTGCCTCCGCTCGGGGCTCGCAGGACCGGCGGTGCATGTTCGGCGACAGCCTCGGTGCCGCAGCGACCAGGGGAGGGGGCGCGGGGCGGCGCGGCGGGGCCCCCCGGCCCCCCGCCGCAATGGCGAGCACTTCCCCAAAGTACTTTGGCGGCTTGTTTGGCTGAGTTTTGTGTGTGTGTGTGTGTTGTGGAGATGCGGAGTCAACGCTGCAGTCGGTGCTGGTGTGAGCGTGTGTGTGCGTGAGTGTGAGTGTGTGTGTGTGTGTGTGTGTGTGTGTGTGTGTGTGTGTGTGTGTGTTGGAGAGATTAGGACGAGACTTGAATATTTATGAGCTTTGCTTGAAACTGACTCGCAGTGTTTACTTGCCTCTTTGTTCCTTACCCCCCTCCCTCCCCCGTCCACACACATACATACATTTAAAAAAATCCATTAAACTTGAAACAGTTTCTAATTCCTCCTTTTTTTGGGGGTGATTTTTTTTTTTCATAGAAACTAGTTGCACAGATGAAGCAAGATCCACAGGTAAATGCAGATCCTTTTTTTTTTTTTTTTTCTTCTCTCTTCTTCAGTATTTTATCCCTGCCGTAATAAGCGCAGTTGTGCTGGGACAGCAGGATGAGAAACTTTATCAGTAAGAGATCTCATTTCGTAGTCTGCACTGAGCTTTCTTGCTAAGGAGGGTGTTTTGTGTGTGCATGCTTCTGTACGGCTTCGGTGGAATGGTTTTGCCTTTGAACAATTTCTAGCTCGCAAGTTTATTCATTACGGGGGTTAGTTTGCACTTTGCCTTTAATATGCGTCTTGTTGCCGTTTTTGCAGAACGGGGATCTTAAGAAACAAATCCATGAAAGGCAATCAAGAATAGCAGCTCTTAATGAGAAACAAGTAAGGAACAGATCGATTCAGTTGTGTTTGGTTTTTCTTCTTGTTTTTACGATGCACTATCTAAACATCCGAAAAGTGTCTGCGTTAGCTGAAAAATACTGGCGGCAGGGGATATAACATCCATTTTCTTTTGCATAGAGTCAGAAAATGCATGTTTTCATAATGAGGTCGGATTCTCTGATGTCTTGCTGGGGGAAAGAATTATTTCAGTACTAGTAGTAAAAAGAGAAGCAGTAGTTAAAACGTAAGGAAAAAAAAAGAGGCGTCCATTTTGAGTTGGTCGACATGTTTTAGGAATATGGAAAATTCTCCTGTCTTGGGTTACTTTGTGCACTTCTGTGTAACGTGCAGAGCAAGAGTTGGGAAGGAGGAGGCTGGAGCCCCGTTTGGAGCTATTTCTGGGTTTAATTACAAAACTGATTTTTATTGATTACTTTATTTCTTTTCTTCTT